CCGCTAGGAGATCAACCACAGAAAAAAATGAAGCTCTCCCTTTGGGACACCGCGGGCCAGGAGACTTACAAGTCGATAACTCGCTCGTATTTTCGTGGCGCCTCAGGGGCTCTCCTCGTTTTTGATATCACTCGTCCATCTACGTTCACCTCGTGTACCCAATGGCTGCAGGATCTTCGGCAAATTGCAGAGGATGGCATTGTTGTAATCCTGGTTGGAAACAAGAGCGATCTCGCGGAAGTAAAATCCGATGTGAATCAGAGGCGTGTCACCAAGCAAGAAGCGGAGGAGTGGTGCCGCATGAACAATGTTGTTCGCTACGTTGAAACCAGTGCAAAGTCCGGTGAAGGGGTCGAGCGCGCATTCCTTGAAGTTGCCGAGAGGATTTATCGCAATATCGAGGCAGGAAAATACGACCTGAACGATCGTCGAAGCGGTGTAAAGGGTTTTGGGGCTACAGGGGGAGCAAGCGCGGTAACGCCGAAAACCATCACCTTAGGCTTGAATGATGCAATGCGCAGTGGTGGAAATGGTTGGCGCGGAGCTTGTTGCTAGCATGAGAAATGCATGTTATCTGAGCTCTCTTGCAAGTCTTGGTTGTAATACAGGATATTGCAATGCATGACATGACTCGTCTATACAATTAATTATATATCGTACTGCCTGCTTGTTTAGTTAATGATTGTGCTTGGGTAACTCCTTTCGCCTGAGTATCACCTTCCTTGTTCCTGCAACAGCCACCATACCTAGACAGGCAGATGGAAAGAACTTATCAAGGTATTGCCAGGGCTACATGATAGTATTGTGTAGTTGGTAGGTTAAGATGTTGGCCTATAGAGTGCGCAGTGGTAACCGATCGGTATAAATTGCTTGGACGATGAAGTTGGAACTGAAAGCTTCATTATATGCCGAATTGAAGGTGTTGCTTGTCCCAGAACTCCAACACAATCGGTGTGCAGATGGTGAAAGACGTCGCTACGTCGTGTCTGTCTACGCGCACATAAGCAGACGTTATCGGAGAATCCAGTATTATACGGAGTTAATCATTCCAAGAATAGCAACAGTAGCGCCAGACACACTTTGACATACATTGCACGATGAATAATGGATACAGAACTGTTCAAGTTGAAATTTGTAGGTGCCTGACATCCAATCAATTCGCAATCCGCCAACCGCTCAGCCAGTTCAAGTTGGCCCATTGCTGGCTAGGTCCCTCCATGCCGAACACAATGACTCGGAAATGAACAAACATCCCGATGATGACCATGTAAAGGAAGGCATACAGAGACCCACGAGCCACAGGACTCATTTTTTGAGTAAGCCAGTCAACACAAAAACCGAAGGTAAGTATGGCATAATAGAGAGCAGGGTAATAATGGTGAACATAGGTCACCCGAGCCATGATTATGAAGGGGAAGTAGTGTAGGATCCATCCAAGTACAGGATAGAAGCCGGAATAATGGATGTGATCGATGTCCGCTTGACTGAGATCCTTGTAACCCCGCTGCCAGCGGGCGAGATACCAGAATATTAAGAGTCCAAAAACCCCGAGACTGACTGTACTGCCCCAGTAGACAAAGGGATTTCCGAGGAGGTAATACTTAATGGTGCTGTCATCCCAGGAGCACATACGAAGGCCCACATTGAGTATGGGCCATTGCCAGAATTTCGATGCAAGGTCATCTTGTTTGTCTGGATCAGGAACAAGGGCGTTGTTCGATGTCATCATGGCGACATTCAGATGAATGAAATCCTTAAAAAAGGGGGACTTGTACGATCCTGGATCACCAGGTGGAACTGCGAGAATTTCACGTCAGACCAGGGTACCAGCCTGCTCGATGGGGAAGGGAAGGTAAGGCGGTTGAAGGGTGAAAACAGCAGAGGAAACACAACCTGAGCGGGCAATGCTCAAGCTTCTCGGGTGGTACTTACGTCGATCATTGAAATGAGACTCCACATTCCAATGCGTGTAGACGTCGCGAGGGTTGTTCTCTTTGACACATGTGGTCTCGATCTGCTTAAACCCCCACTGTGGGAGGTTCACGTTGCCGGCGCGCAGATAGCAGCCCAGAACGATGTGCCTCAGGCGGAATGCAGTTGTCAGTGTTCGAATCCTGCTTCGGTCCCTTGAAGCGACATCATCGACAACCTCCACTGCCCAGTGATCTTTTTCATCCCCAATAGTGATGTTACCATAGCAGGAGACTTCGTACTGAGACTTGGTGATAGGAGCCGGGATGGCATGCGAATGAAGGTTTCGGCCCGTTTGCCCATGAATAAGACGAATAATATCGCCATCACCAACAAAAGCCAGAGGTCCATTGGCGTCATACTCAGGTTCATGGCGGTTGGGGTAAATGAACCAATCGTTGTTTGCGTCCTTGTGATGGTAACAAGTGACCTGCTGCTGATTGGAACCGTCGGGGTAAGTTTGAACATGAGAATGCAGCAGTCCTCCACCATAACCCATATTTTTTAAAGTGACCCTAGAGCCAAGGGCAATTTCGAGAGGGCTGTCCTTTCCAACCTCGGTGCCCTTTAGGTTAGCTTGAAAGAGAGAGCTCATCTGCGCGTCGCCCGGCCCACTGTTTTCCAAAATCCAGAAATGCACGTAAAAGGAAAACATATATACCACAGCAGGTATAATAATCAATCCGACTACCCGAGCCAGTAGGTGGTTGACGAGGACTGTCTGTTCACAAGGTCAGGTACAAAGCAGTATTCCGGAAATCCCTTCAGTACTGACCTTCGGCATCCTAAGATCGCCAAATTTATTCCATAAATCTTCAATTGTATAGAGACCCACTAATGCTGTGCAAAAAAGACCCACCCATTTAACACTGCATACGCAGCCGATACTTATACCAGTCAAGAAGAGCCAGGTGAACCACTCAATTGAGAAGCTAGCGTGCTTTAACCGATGAAACTTAGCCCAACACATGGTGGTCGTAAAGGTGAAGCAAAGTAACATTGAGTCGAGCAATATGAACCTTGAAATGGTCGCGTAGGAGTTTTCGAACAAAACCATCAGACTGATCAGCCAAACGGTGGCCTTGCGAAAACCGAGCTCTCGAGCAGTGTAATAAGCGAGAGGAACACACATGACACCGAAAGCGGCGTTGAAGACACGCATGAATGTGAAGTTGACATCCTCTGGGTATTTCTCTCCTGATTTGAATTCAAAGGATCCGTTGTAGCCAGCAAGGAGACCGGATAAGCCAACAAGCATCTTTCCCAGTGGCGGGTGAACGTCAAAGTAGAATTCTCGCTTCAAGTAGTGTGAACCGAATTTCCCAAAGCTGGTCGAGAGTGATTAGAGACTGTGGTAGTTTCACATGGCTAAGGTGTTATGTAACGTACTGGGCTTCATCCCATGTCACAATGTTGGAGCGACCTATGCGGTACATACGGGTGAAGACAGCCAGGGCCGTCAGCACGATCGGCGCAATGAAAGGTTCCCAACTATCTAGTATCGAGGAGAAGGAACTGGGCTGTTCGGCAGAAGGGACATTAGCTGGCGATAAGATGCGACGCTTTGCAGGTAAAAAAAGGGTGATTATAACCATCATACCTTAGGCCTCAACTTTGCGTCCTTGTCCTCGAGGCTATGAGATGAGGGCTTATCAACTTTCTCTGTGGCATGAACATTCCTACGCCGCAAATCGGAGCCGACATTGGCACCGGTGGTTGATGCGACATCCATTTCCGCCATGGTGGATGGTCTCATCCTAAATCAATGCGGAGAAGTCAGCATTCACGTTGCAAGGGCACCGGTGGAAACTGGAACGCATACAAAACAGTCTTAAGATAGTGAGTCCAGAGAAAGAGAATGAGTTGGCGGAGATGACCCTCAGAGGTAGTACACGGGCATATCCAATTCTCAATTGAAGAGGTTGGTATCCAGATTATAATGACGGTGAGCTTACAGGTCCTCGACAGATCTTCAGGGGGAATCAGAAAAGTACTTTTGTAAAATGGAAAAATCGAATAAAAGCAATGAGGGTTTGGGAAATGAAAAAGAAACGAAGCGAAAGGCAGAGGTGGCTACAGCAGGCATGAAACGAAAGGCTAGTAGAAGCTGGATTGAAGTATGTGGCCTGAGACTGTTAAGGTACCTAGGTAGTAAGCAAATGGATAGTTGGCCAGGAACAGAGTAATTCCACTGGAAAAAATGGTTCGGCATCGGATCGGCCCCGCTCTGGCCACCTCACCTCACTGTTCTCCAACACGCCAACAATGAGTACGTACTTACCCATAATTTTTGCGGCTTGCCTATGGAGTACATCTATGATAGTCTTTTGAGTCTTTGGCATGGTCCGTGACGAAACTATTGATCTTCGCCTCATATGTGAAACAACATACACTACCAAGCCTTCCTGAAACCAGCGGTCAGATTGTCAGAACTGTGGGATATGGGATGCTTATGGGTTATCTCGCACAAATATCTAGGGGCATTTTTGTTCCGACTGATGTTGGTAGATCAATTATTCAGACATATGTGCTCACAGGTGGATGTGTTACGAAAAGGACGGGGAAAAGAGGGATGAATGAAATAAGAAGCCCAGGATTAGACGTCTTCTATCATAACCAGAAACCGGCCCTGACCAGAACAGAATTTCAATTAGTGTTTAACGGATTTTCAAGATCTAATGAAATCCTTCATACATTGGAGAAATTTCAGACCGCTATATCACATGTACATGGACACTGCCGAAGAAGAAACAAGCCCATACTGACCTATGTGGTCAAATCCGCGCCGCCTAGTTCTATCCACGCAACAACATAGATACACCAAAGCAGGATTGTTCGTTGACACCAAGCCCCTCTACTCCTTGATAAAGGAGAAGAGAAGGATGAAATAATGGCGAGACCACAAAGAGAAGGAGCAGATATGTCACCAAAAAGCGGAAAAGGTAGAAAAGTAGAGAATTAGTACTATAGAAGCAACGAATTCTCAAAAACGGAGAGGAGCACGAGATAAATATACAATCCAGGTCATTCTAATCGTTCTCATCCTCTTCTTGCCGCAGATGTCTATACTGATTTTTTTTCGCTTGCGGTCCCGGTGCTCTGTGGCGACTGACCATATTTGAGATCCAACCGCCAATACCTTCAGGCCGTCCGCTGCTTTCATTCAAAGGATTAAGCCCTGCAGGTTTAGAATTCTCATGGGCGCTGATGTTAGGTGGATCGATATCTAAACCAGGAATGGCGCTTTCCGTTCCAAACTGACCATACTGCCGTCTGATGTCAAGGGAAGGCACAGGCGAGCCGCCGCTCATAAGCGATCCACGCTCAGCTTGTGTCGCCGGTGTTGGCACAGCAGTCGTCGCATCTCCAAAGAGGACGTCCATGTCTTCCAGACGTACACCGCTCGTTTCGGGGTAGAGGAAGTATACTTAAAAAGTACCCATTAGTGAATCATGAAGTGTCGAGTCTGGAATGTGAGGCTCACCAAGTACAAAACTACAAGCACAAAAGAAGGCATGAACAAGATAAAGACGCCATTTGATCGCAGCCTGGAGGACAGGAGTCACCTCTCCGACGAGCCAGTTGAAAGCCCAGTTCGTAGCTGTGCTAAGACTGGCCCCTTTGGCACGGATGCTCAAGGGCAAGATCTCGGGAGGGTACAGCCAGGGGATAGGGCCCCAGGATGCGCCGAACGAACTAAGTTGTGTTAGTACTGGGTAGACATTCGATAGTTCCGCTCACTGAGAGAGGAGAGGAGCACAAAAGATACTCACGCATTGTAAATCATGACAAAAAGGACAGTCAGAGTCGGAGTTGCTACAACATCGATATAGATGAAATAAGATATCAGAGACAGAGAAACAATCATTGCAACCGACCCGGAAAGCAAGATCGGGCGCCTTCCCCACCGGTCCACGAGATACCATGGGGGAACTGTTGAGGCAAGGTACGAGAGCCCATTGATGCCGGTCATCAAAATAGCATCGCGACCCGCCCAGCCCGCTGACTCAAAGACGAGTGGGGCATAATAGGATATCACATTAATACCGTTCAGCTGTGCCAATGCCTGAGCTGACATTGCGATGAGGACTCGTTTGCGATAACGCTTAAACATGTCAGTGTAGGATCTTTCGCCTTCCTGCCGTTGCAGAAGGACATCCATCTTGATTTCTCGGTACTCCTGTCGGGCCTTGTCATTGTGCAAATCCCCTTGCCCATATAGATTGGCGATGACCACCATGCCCTCTTCATCGTGATCATTATCTAATAACCATCTGCCTTTGTATAAGCAATATGCATGGCATGAGGCTTAGATTGCCAATTTCAGATACTCACCTCGGCGATTCACATATGATGAGGCTTCCTAGGCCTAGGAGGGTACCTAGAATGCATTGGCATAGCAGTGGCAAACGCCACGCATAGTTACTGTCGATGTAACTGCAGAAATAATCCACCCACACACTAGCCGCGTATCCGCAGATATTGCCGGTAAACTCGATACACGCTAGTTTGCCCCTGTTGTGAGGCGGCTATTGATACGTCAGAAGATCAGCCAAAAAGAAGGGGGAGTAGAAATCGAGTGATTTCGCATACGGATATCTCTGATTGATAAACTGGTACTATTGTTGACAATGCTCCAACGCCTAGGCCTGCAACGATACGGCCGAGCATCATCATAGGTAGACCAGTCGCGAAGGTTTGGAAAGCACCACCGATAGAAAACACGATAGAGCCGTAAAGAATGGTCTTCCGCCGTCCTATCAAGTCGCCAATCCGGCCGACGAGTAAGGAAGAAATGAATGCACCAACTTCAAGGATGGCGACCACTGTGCCGATCGCGGCTCGCGATGGCTGATTGAAGTAATCCTTGAAGTACCAACCACTGTATTTACGTTAGTCATTTGTTTCAAAATCGCCATGCCTATCATCACCAAGGCATGGAGGCCTTTTGCCGCAAAGTCGGAGGACGAACGTGATTATACCCGACATAACACCCTGATCATAACCAAAAAGGAAGACACCTAATGATACGAAAACACTGGTAAAGTACCTGTATAAAGGTCAACGAAAGTACTGCAGAGCCAGTGATCAAAAGCGGGATCTTCTTACAGTAAGGGCTTCCCAACCAAGCCATGTATCTGGGCGGTGTGTCTATTGCTTGGAGACATGATGATAGCTAAAGACCGCTCTATCCTGGAAATCCGCCTAGGCGCAGGTGAGGGAATGTCAATGGATATTTTCTCAAGATTGGTCCGGCCAGCGGGCAATTGAGCAATGTAGCGCACGCGCTTTTGTCGCTTCAGTCCAGCTCGAGACCCTTCTGCCCTGGTTGTTTCACAATCCAGGGACTTCCGCAGTCGATATCGAAAAGGCTCTTCTACATCTGCAAGCTGCTCGGCTAGGTCACCTGTGTCGGTCCAAACGGAGAATGTAGACTCGACAGTGTGACCAGACGAGTATGAGGAACGTCGACTGCCTTTCTCGCTCGCAGAATCAACACCGACAAAGTGCCCCGAGGATGATTGCAAATGAGCGCTTAGTGACCGCAGAGGTATAGTACTTGAGGTGCGTACAGAAGACTTTGCTGAAGGAATGTTGGCGGTTGTGGTGGGCTGAAAGCGACAGCCCTTCCGCGCTCAAGAGTGGGTTCTCGGAGAGAGTTTGAAGTGATCAAAGGTGGACTGGAGATATCAAGCTCTCCAACTCCTCCATGCAGGGTCTGGAAATTTTTTCCTGAAGGTAGACCAGACAGGTGTTGTAGATTACGATGGCAGCTTTCCGAGGGGTATGATGACTGGTGCTGCGGGAAGCTGGACGTTTTCTGGCCCGATGACGCAAGACAACTTGAGTAGGATGTTGATCCGGAGAATCTACGAGACCACGAGAGCAGATAGCGGAGATGTTGCGGCGAGGAGGTCAGAACTTATGCTCAAGGGTTATGCTTGCAATGGATCAGCGGAGTAGCCAAGTGACGCAGTTGGAGGCTGTTTAGTCAAGAACAAGTGATCAGGCGGAAAAACCAAATAAGGCAACGACAACGGCTGGCATAAGATAGCGAGCTGAGCACATGCAACAGCAGGGTTGTGAAAACTAGACAATGGATTGAATGGATAGAGACGATTATTTGACACCTTGGTATCAAAGATAAATGATTACAGAATGGCACGGAAGAAAATGATGGATGACAGTGGGTTGAATGCACGGAGCACACACTTGGGCGTTTGCATTCCCCAGAAAGTTGGGGAGAGGTGCTGAAAGTGGAGGCCAGGGAAGAGACATAGCACTCACAGTCTACTCAGACGGTTAGAGCAGCCTAATCATTGCCCCTGATGCCTTATTGGATGACTGGGTCGTTGGGTCATGTATTATTGTAAGTTTGCAACTTGGCGGACGGGAACGGGACGGAATGCACCTATGGAGTAAGTACCTCCTCCAGGTAGACTAAGGTACCTTGGGTACAGAGTACTTACGGAATATGCCCAGGCCAAGAGATGAGAGTACGTAGTATCCGCCGTACTGTGCATCATTTACCCAATAATAAATATTAATAATAGTTAGTTAAGGTAATTCCCTACCGAGTTGATCAACACCCCCCAAGCCGATCACCTTGAATTCCATATAAAATGGCTGTTTTCAAGGCCTTAATATCTCAACAACCAAGCGTTTACGGGGGACTAAATCTAGGCAAAGAGCATAGTATAGTAATATACTTATATACATCGGCCACACAGCTTACTGGTATAGGTATTTCTCAAGGTATTAGGTAGTGATGAGGCCTGTATTTTTTAGTATTTTATATTTGCTAGATTTCTAGAGAGAAGAACGACATTTTAGAAACTTGAAAAATAATTATAATGTTTCATAGTATATATCCTATAAAGATTCCACCAACTCTTCCTAATATAAGCTAGCTGCTGAGATATTGAGGCCTTGAAGAGTGCCATTTTATATGAATTACAAGGTGATCGGCTCGGGGGTGTTGATCGACTCGGTAGGGAAATAGTTACGTTAAAAGGCGCCTTAGTCACTGCCTTACCACTCCTGACCTGGCTTCACCTTGAAAAGGAAAGCCGCCTTAAGATGAATGTCTAAGGTAATTCTCCATACTCCAACTGTAAATTGTCTAGTTTGGCGTCCTTTTTTGAAGTGGGACTATACCCCCTACCGTTCCCATACTAAGAAAGGTTGAATACGAAAATGGCTGTCGAGGCACCAACAATGAACCATAACGTATGGGCCTCTCTCATCATACAAGGTACTCCGTACACCTCTTCTAGGTACCATTGAGAACCAGCCGAACATTCCACTAGTTAGTCATTGCATCTGGAATCAAGACCAGTAGGTAACTAAGGTAGATCCTGTTATGGGCAGTGAGCCAACGATGGTGGAGATCTCAACTCTTTTCTTAAGGTGCCTTACTCTACACAACATATGAGACATATCAGCAGTACTAAGAATGAATGGTACTCTACAACAACTTGTCGGAGCTTCCAGGTTGAAGAGATATGCACCTTGAGACTCCGAAACCCGTAGTATCAATCGAGAAATGGAAGCTCTGCATGATGGACTTGGCAGCCTGCTTTGTCATGATGCCTTTCGAGGATTGAGCATATGAATTGTCCATTTAGAACTTCACAACTAAACTGCGAAGCTATGCAGATTACATGAGGCATAAAATCCACATGTTTATCTTGGAATAAGGATCATAAGTCATTAAATATTCAATGTTATCTCCGTAGCACTTCCTGCCTTCCGTGAGATCCTGATATCTGATCACCTAAGCACCAACTACAGGTATTGCTGACAATTACGGAGCAGTGTACTTTTATTTCATCTGTATGATCAGGGCATCCATTAGGAGAATTGGACTTTCCAGAGAGTTAAGCCATCTTGTAGGGTAACCCTACTGCATGATACATGTAGGAGACTATAGGGAGTCTGTGCATGAATGTAAGATCAACCTAACCTCCATGACAAGAAGACTGCTTAGGTCTGGCCGTGGTCTCTCTTGTGCCGTCACCAGTCTCACCTGTGACCACAAAATTCCATGAATGGGAGGTTAATATGTAGCGCCTTGACATTAAAAGCACGCAAACCTGTCAGGATTCTAGTGTGCTTCCTCTATATTTACAGATGGTCTGGCTACACTATACTACCTGGCGAAAGTACTGGCGTAATGTTTACAAAAAGGGTACGCAGTGGGACTGACTCGACTGGGACCATTACGCAAAAGCCATCACGGGCATAGCCTACCTCAGCATCTCAGGAGGCAAAGGTCACATAACCTGGCCAGATATGGTAATATTGTCAGCCCAGCGAGAAGCCAGACAATATTATACAAGTGCCATGTGAACAGTCATCTGACATCTACTCCATGAATATAGTATAAGGGCCAGAGATAAGACCCGACCTCTCCATTCATTGCACATAAGTTCAGACACAGGCTCGAGGCAAGAAGACATGTAGAAACAGCGAAAATCGACATCAATGTGCGTCTTCGAATATCTTACCGCTAAACATTGGTATCAGAATAAAGCAACGAGGGATCCTCGTGACAAACTGAATAATCGCTGACCAGACCTTTCTCTCAAGTAAGGAGAATGTCGTAGCCTTCTCTTTGAATGTAGATGGCGTCTGCTAAATTGGCATATTTGCGACGCACAAGTTCGAATATCACCAGCCCAGCACTAGTGCTAGGCACTTGGCGAAGAGCATTTCCTACAAAGCCCTGAAATAACCATTTACGCCAACCACCAGCACGCGCTGCTCTCCTCTTGCAGCGTTTGAATGTTTCTCGATAAGCGGAATAATAGACTTGCATCATCTGCCCCTTCGTGGAGATCAGGTTAGCCTGATGATCAAGATATTCTAGCCGAGAATAGTGAATATTCTGGATAGCACTCAGCGGATGCTGTACTGCCTGCTGCGCAATTGACGCTGCCACACCGGCTAACATCAGGAAGCATGGCTCTAAGCTGTAGTGAGGTTTGATGAGCGGGACCCCACGGTCACTTGATTGAGGGTCTCGCAGACTGTCCAGCTGATGGGTGCGAAGTGACCCGTAATATCTTGTAACAAAAGAATAATATGCCTGCGACTTTATGTATTCGAAAGTACTGAAGAAAAGGGCGTATCCAAATGAGTCGCGTAAAAGTGACAGGCTCCAGCCTGCGAAAATGCCGCGAAGACCGATTTCTTCGAGTTTGTTCCGTCCATAGTGCCACATGCTGCGGTACTGACCATGGAGCATGTCATTTGTTCGTAATCGAACCTGGAGAGCGTCTAGAGGCGCAGCTACAACTGACTGTATCGTACCAGCGGCAAAGCCAGCTGCAAATGTATCAACAGGTGATGCAGGAGGGTATATACGCTTGACACTTCGGGAAACGGGTTCATATAGGACGCCAAGGGCCTGGAGATACGACGTATACAGGACAGCGCCAATGCTAACAGCAGATATTAGGGCCCAGAGTGACCGAAGGGAGAAAATGGAGGACTCAACTCACCCTGCATTTGCCAACATAGGGGGTAAAAGCTGATTGGGGATGAACCGCCAACCATAAGTACGAACGGCATGGACAAGAAGACCAGGTGTCGTTGTATGTAATGACCAGCGCTTTCCAGTGGAATGAGGGTTAACAGCTCTTGCGAACGCCTAACGGGAACGTTTCGAGTGGAACAATCATTAGCTCACGTCGGACGGAATGAGTATATGAGTCCTAAGAATTTCGGAGAAAAGAAGCCAGGAAGTGTTTCGACTGGTATACGGACCATATAACTGGACGTGTGTCAACAAATCTCAGTCTGCGTAGCGAAAGGGAGGAGTGCATACTCAACCCGAGTGCGAAAAAATGCCTTGACGGGAGCTCTGAAGTAGAAAGCAACCATCTGCGCACTGACTGCACGAACACCAGCTGCCGAAGCGCCAGTGGCTGCATCATTCCGAGGATTTCTTCGAGTAGACTTGCTGGGTTCTGCGCCAGAGACATTGTCGTCGAAGCGTACTTGATCCCCAAGGGAAATGGTATCCTCAGTTGACATTATGCGGATGACCTAGCGCGCCCTTCTCCATCGGGACGTATATGCATTCAGATCACAAAAGTTTGCGGAGAGGATAGTTATCAGTTGCCTATCCGGATATTTTACCAATCCTCGCCTATATAGAGAT